TTTTCTTCTTTTGATTTTTAGAACACCACGTCGCACAGAAGGGACTCATATACTTTCAAATCTATACTCAAACTCCCCTCTTCCTCCCTTCGTCGCACTTTGCTTCCCGTACTCGTCTGCCCCACGTTCACTTTTCCCGTGCAGTTCAATAATCCGCTTCCCTCGAATACACCCACGAATTGGAACCACGTACAGAAGGCTCCATTTCTCTTCCCGTCCAGTCCAATTTTTTTATTGCGGCCTCAGGGAAGGTCTTTGCCCCCTTTTATCTTCCCACTCCAAACGCAAAAACACACACCGCGCGCACACACATACACACACACACACACACACACACACACACACACACACACACACACACACACACACACGGGCGCACGCGCACATACACATACACACACGCAGGGAGAAAAAGTGTGCGCGTGGTGTGTGTGTATGTGTGTGTGTGTGTGTGTGTGTGTGTGTGTGTGTGTGTGTGTGTGTGTGTGTGTGTGTGTGTGTGTGTGTGTGTGCGTGCGCTGACGCGCGTGTGTGTTAGGCTACCTCTTATATTGTTCTGAGTAAAAAAATTCAACACGTTATTATAGTTTTGAATATACTGCCCAAAAATAAAAACCAACCTTTGCCCTCGAGAAAGCCTATAACTCCGTGGGTAAAGGGTTTTTGTGGGTCACCGGGTAATACATTGTATTTCTCTAGTTTTCCAATGTATATCCCCATCAGCTCCCTACATGTCAACTCCATCATAATTTTATTCATGCATTATTATTGTTTTAAAATTAAATGCTCGTGGTTGTACGCCCCCATCGACACATTGTTAGATCATTTTAGGAGACAGGCTTCCAGATTTGCATATTGGGGTCACATTGTTAGATCATTTTAGGAGACAGGCTTCCAGATTTGCATATTGGGGTCACATTGTTAGATCATTTTAGGAGACAGGCTTCCAGATTTGCATATTGGGGTCACATTGTTAGATCATTTTAGGAGACAGGCTTCCAGATTTGCATATTGGGGTCACATTGTTAGATCATTTTATGAGACAAGTTTCCAGATTTGTATATTGGGGTCAACCTGGGCTGAGAAGGATAGGCCTACAACATACAGCAGACAAACCGAGATATTCGATAAAAGAAATGTTCTCCCCACTTGGGAATCGAACTCCGGTCTCCTGCATGCAACAGCTAAGCATCTGACCGCTACACCACATACGCGATAGCCGATATAATCATTTAATATTTTATTGTATAGTAACAAATTATGGAAGTCAGCCACATCGGAGATTACTTGCCAGAAAGTGTAACTTGAAACATAGACCCTGGTCACATCACGTTCTTTCGAGATAAGATAAGTCTAGGCCTACTGCACATGACTGTTGTTCTCTTCTTGTTGCCATTTTGAATGCATGGCTCCATCCCCTTCAATGTGTCCCTAATAATGTGGCTACGCTTGTTTGAAGAAAAAAAGAACCTCACACCGTCCCAGTCCTAAAGAACTACATAGGCTGCCAAGCCGCTTATTGTGCACAACGCGCTGCTATAAGTGCCAATTTTTTTTTTTATATCTCTGAAATGCCTTTCTGAAATATAGATAAATAGATAGATAGATAGATAGATAGAGAGACAGATACATAGATAGATATAGTAAGAGAGAAACAGACAGACAGACAGAGAAAGAGAGAGAGAGAGAGAGAGAGAGAGGGGGGGGGGGGGGGTGAAAGGATCACTAGCTATTGGAACTATGTTCTCTGTACTTTTTTTTGGTAAGTGTTTTACGGCGCTCGCTACTGCATAAGCTCATATAAGCGTGCAGGACACATTACACTTTTTTCAGTTGGTAGGAAATTTTGAATTTTGCCCGGGTGGCGGTCGAAGCCTACTCTTATCGATTTTAGACCACCAATTTAAGGGATCTTTAACGTGCGCAACTTGAACACAGGCCTTCCGAGATTTTTCGCCCTTGTCCGAGAAGGCTAGGTGTAGATCTTTCGTACCAGAAGATCAGGGGTGTGGCTGAAAGACAGCAGTAAGAAGGAGCCAAGGAGTAGCAGAGCAAAGGCTGCAGAAAGAGTCAGGAGCCCAGAGGTGGGGGCAGAGGAGGTGAGGGGGTGGGGGCAGAAAGAGGAGACGAAAGCAAACGACAGAACATTGCTAGAGAGCAGGAAAGGAGGTGAAAGGAGACAATTTTAGAGAATAAAATTTCTCAGTAGCTGCCCGGATTTGAACCCGGGACCTTTGAATGAAAGGCCAACATCTTAACCTCTAGGCCACGAGAGCCCCCCTCTGTACGATTGTAAAGAGCACTGAGCACATTCCTTGCCTTGTGAAAATGCTGTGAAAATGAGGTAAAAATGTAAGTAATTTATTAAACTGGTGTGTGTGTGTGTGTGTGTGTGTGTGTGTGTGTGTGTGTGTGTGTGTGTGT